AAAGGACATGCCTTCAACCAGCTCGAGTTCTGTATTAAGAGAACGGCCCTCTTGTGTTGTGATGATGCCGTCCTTACCAACCTGCTGCATCGCATCCCCAATCAGCGCCCCAATTTCATTATCCATGTTAGCCGATATCATCGCCACCTGTGTGATCTCTGATTTGGATGTCACCGGTTTTGCCTGCTCCGCAAGGGAGGCCAGCACCTCACGGCACGCCAGATCAATACCGCGCTTGAGGTCCATTGGATTTGTGCCGGTGGCAACACTGCGATATCCCTCACGAAAGATTGCACCCGAAAGAATTGTGGCTGTTGTCGTGCCATCGCCCGCGTTGTCGTTCGTTAAGCCGGCCACCTGCCGGACGAGGTTTGCACCCAAATTCTCAAAACTGTTCTCAAATTCAATGTGCTTCGCGACCGTCACACCGTCTTTTGTGATCTTCGGACTTGCGTACGGCATCTCCAGCACAACATTTCGCCCTTTGGGCCCAAGCGTGACGCCCACCGCCTTCACGAGGTTTTCGACGCCAATAAGGAGTGCCTTGCGTGCCTCCATTGAGTAGCGGATGTCTTTGGGCGTTGAGCCGTACTGCATGCGGCGCGTAAATGTGCGCTGCCACATTTTCTCTGAATGCAAATTCTATCAATATATGAAATATAAACTCCACCAAGCATGCGAAAATAAACAAAAAAAAAACCAACGCCAAAAAAAGAAACAAAAAGCGGTAAAGGACACGCGATGATTTACTCATTAAAAAGTGAATTCCTTGCACTCACTCACCAAACCACTGCAGCAGAGCCCCTCAGGTAGCTTAAAAAGACGTAAACACGCCTCTCCTCACCGATAGAACGCCGATAACACAATTGGATTGGGAGTGCGAGACGCACCAAAGCGAAAAAAAAAAATCCCGTGCGGTGGTGGCAACTCAATGGCCCAATTCCCCCCTGACTGGTGGTGCACCTTCACAGCGACCGTCTTCTCGGAAGGAACATCACACTTGCCTCGATTGAGCAGGGTTGTACTCATCATTCCACGCAATATTTCCTCCCGTGGCGCTGTGCGGAGGCAAATGCCTATGGCGTAACAAGAAAGTGAAAGATTCTCCGCGGCCATAACAAACCACGCAGTCGGGCCCTTGTCTTTTCGCGTATTCTTCAACAAAGTAGATGACACACTGGAATGAGGAGGGTCTGGGAACGAATCGCACAACACTCCGCTACGAGTGCTGGCCGTAGCAAAAGCCATCATTTTGTTTGGGACGCCGTTTGAATCTGCGAAAGATGACTCACCGGACCGCGTCAATAACTCCCTTTGATCCCACTCCTCACACGTTTCTGCAGAAGACGCGAGGACCGGGTATCCAGAGATGAATCCGCCTCCAGTCAACGTATACCCATCCACCACGGGACAGTGCAATGTGACAGTGTCACGTCCGCTCATTCGGCACCGGCGACGCTGACTTTGCTTCTCCCAGACTGCTTGAGCACTGCCTGCTTCATCCTTGAATTCAAACAAGCGTGCAGGATACTGGCATTCCTCAAGCTGCACAAGTTTTTCTCGCTCCTCTGGCCCCACAATGTTTCTTAAAGAAACAAAAGATACGGTCACATCGTACCAATCGTCTGGATCCACCAATGTGACGACCTGCAACAGAACAGATGCGCCATCATCTATAGGATCGTGCTGCAGAAACCACCTCCCCCGCTCAGCATCATAAAAAGACGACAGAATGCCCGTTGCTCCATACGCGCGGACGCCGCCAGAAAGAACCTTGTAACCCCTCGGAATATGTAATTCAATGACATGATCCGTACTTTTTTTCGTAAAAACATGGTAAAAGCGACCTCCGAGTGGAGTTGACATCGTGCTGGGCTTTATTGTTTGCCAATTAACACACAAAAACACACAGTCAGTCGCACACACAAAGAAAAAATTATATATATAATTTAAAAATAAGAATAATAACTAAAATGAAGTTACGGTAAGAGCCATCAGCTTATCGCCTTGTAACAAAATAAAGAAGTCAAAAGACATCAATGAAGCAAAAAAAAGTCCCTAGCAGAAGGCAGAGTGCAGAATCATAAGCCCCGCCCCCGCACCATTAGAAGTAAAAAGGGAAATGGAGGTGTTGTGTTGCCCCAACTTTGCGTGTCTTACACACACAGACAAGACTCCCATTATTACTCATTTACCAAAACTGTACAGTTCAATATTGAAAACGGTAAAGAATCGTTATTCCTCTGTCTCTCTCCCCCTCCTCTCAGAATGTTGATTTTGCATTCAAAAGAAAAAAAACATTTTTTTTATTTTTTTTTCTTTTTTTCATGACGACCATAACATTCAAGAGTTCTGTTGCTCCAATTCCAGCGCATGGCGCACCCCCGCCAGACGAGTGTACGCTGAGGGGCCAGTCGGCATGTCCTTGCAAGCAAGTCGGTTCTTGCCAAGCGGGCTCCATTCTTTTTCCCGCGCCGTACGCTCTTCTTCCTGAACGCGCAACGGACGCCTATCCGCCATCCGCGCAGAAAGGGCCTCGGCAGAAATCGCAACGGTCGTTGGAGGGAGCACATCGCAGAACTCCTTCCCGGAGCGGCATTCCAACGCCTGAAGAGGGAAAGGCGTCGGGGACGTGAAAGAAAAACCGGGAAACGACGTCGTGGCATGTGCGGTTCCTTTGAATGGTGTCATCACTCCCGAGTAAGCGTCTTTTTCCTTCGGCCTTCCACCTGATGGGCGTACTTGTTGCTGTTCTTGGCACCGGCCTCCATTCACCTCTCTCGACCAAGATGCATGCGACTCCGCAAAAAGTTGCCGGGCCGCCTGAAGCACAAAATCTCTCGACGGAGCATAACCGCATGTAGAACTCACGGTCCCCTTCCCATCGATAGCGGCGGTTGCATCCATAATTTGCCTCATGCCCGATGAAAACATCTCGTCCGGTCGCCCATATTCTGGAAGTACCGCACGTAACTCCGTCTCCAGTGTTTGAATCCGTGGAGCAAACGCGTCGAGCAACGCTTGCGACTCCTGCAAATCCTTGACGGCACTAATTCCCTCGGTTTCAAAATTCTTCACTTGATTAACTAATCTTGACCGCGCCGAAATTACTGGTGAGTGATGCCGCGCCATCTGCACCGTGAGCCGGTGGCGTTCCTCAGCACAGCGCGACACGGCATCTCCCACGTTCACACCACTGGCGCTAAAGAGAGTGCGTAGCAGGTAAGACACCTGTCTCGGCTGCGCGTTGACGTGAAGTTCCCTCACTTTCTCCGTGGCGGTGTCCTTCGCCTCGCTCGCGGCCTCGGGGCACACCACCTCCATGAGACATCTCATGATGTGTGGCGTCACGTGGTCCACACCAAAACATGCCATGTATTCCCTCGAGAGAGCATCGATGGCGTCAAGTGCCAGTAACCCCACGTTGTCCTCCACTGGGCTCCGGCTCCCCATCGCCGCCATGAGACCCCGGTGAAAGAAACCACAAGGAACCAAAACCCTTTTCACCTTTCAAAGTTGGGAAAAAGGGAACCCCACAAGCAGCACCACCCCAAAGCAGCAGTTGCAGCTACAGAACCAAGAGAGGATATAAGATCACGCACCAGCCACTCTCACCCCACACCACAGCTGGCACGGTTTTTCTCGCGGCACGCCTCCTGTATGTCACCTCTTTTATTTTGGCTTTTTTTTTTTTTCGATGACAAAATGTACAAAGGAAAAATGACGGTACAATTCAAAAAAAAAAAAAAAAAGGCAAAATCATCCTTACCAACGTCAAAAACGGCAAATAACAGAACGGACAGATCTAAAAAAACATCCAAAATGTCACGTCACTACATGTAGATAGATATACATACATAAATGTGCGTATGTGTGCGGGAGTGCCTCTTTTTGAAATATAAAAAAGAAAAAAAAAAGCAGGGGAAATACACACCGTTGTAAAAAAGGAATACAAATATATTCACTTCCATAGATCATACAAACATATAGATATGTCTTAAAATCAGAAGTTGCATGCATCACAAGAGAAAATTACAACGACAAATCCAGGGCACGCCCAGACGCATATATTTTTCCTAGATCCCTGTAGTACAACGTGTGTGGTCAGTTCATCATGAACGTGGCCTGGGAAACGGTGGAGGGACAAGCGTCAGAGACTGCAATGGTGTAGAAACAGAGTAATTTGCGGAACTAAAGGACGGCCCTCGCCTCGCCTGGCGCTCAGCCAACTCTACCACGGATGCAACCGGTGGCTGCGAAAGAGATGGAAAATAAATGGAAGATGAAGAAGCAGACCCTAAAGCCGGAAAAAAATAATCATGTTCCCTTCTTTTCTCTGTACCCCGTTCGTGTCCGTCTCGTTCCCCCCCTTCATGTCTTTCTCCGGCGGAGTCGTGAAAATGATTGCTATGATCACAACATCCGTGGCCATGAGAATGGTGATGGGACAAATGATCCACTTTTAAAATATTTGTATCGTCGTCCTCGTCGTTTGGGAATCGAGCCTCAACAAAGACATACGTTGCAACCCCCTCAAGTATTTTCCGTACCGCCACAGTCACAGCAGAAGGATCGGCAGAGGACATTATGCGTAGACACATAATTGCCATAATCTCGTCCTTCTTCACCTCCCAAAAAACAGAAAACTTTACCTGAAGCACACCCTCAACCAGCTTCACACTGCGGATAGCACGATCACGGGCTGCAACAAAAGACGGATGACAAACAGAATTGTTTGTTAGCAGCCAAGCCATATCCTTTACCTTCCTGGTAGCAATCACAAAAGTGTAACTTGCCAACAGCAGCGCCCCAGCCATCTCCCACAGAAAGGTCCTCCTAAGCATAGTCATCAGGGACACCGCAATGCATGTCAATGGAGCATATGCACAACTGGTAGCACGCAAAATAGCGCTACCAAAGGGCAAAATGCCTACAGAATCGTTCACAGGCTCCTGCAGGTGATGGGATAAGTGAGTCATTTTTCCATTGGATAGGTTATGCACATCACGATTCTCAAACCCCCGACCGCTAATGCAATCGTACGCATTAATTTCCTCCGCATACGCTGTAAACAAAACAATATGACAAAAACCAATGACAAAAAGCAGGGAATAAGGCATATCGGATGAATGAAAGGCGTGTTGAAGACCCTCCCCAATCACCGTAAGGCAGCCAAACATGACAAAAACAGAAGACCCAAAGGAAATAAGCACAAAAAGTCTTTTGAGACCGAAGGAGAAGACGCTATTTACTTCCGTGTCATTTTGAATCCAATTCCGCTCCCTTTTCACCAAGTTATTATCGGAGGGAGCCACTGACAGGCCGTCCTTGCCCTTGCTGCATGGAAGAACCGCACAATCATGGCCGTATTGGCATGAAAGTGCAGCCGCCACAAGGGCCACCGATATATTAAGCACAACAAGGGCGTTCACTTTAAGGATCAGGCAGTCAAAGTAAATGCTCATAACTAAATCCAAGATCCAAAGCATCAAAAATACCGCACTAATTTTGCGCAGTCTCCCCGCCTCCGGACTGAAGTCGGCCGCTAGAAGACAAATTACTCTCCATAACATTCTCTATCCTTCCACAGTAAATTCACCCCACCAACCCCCCCCAAAAAAAAAAAAGAACAAAGAAAAAAAAAAAACGAAATCCAAAAAACTCAGTAAAACTTATTTTAGACAACTCCAAATAATAAATCCCGCAAATATGGTTTTATATATATTGCATGTCGTTTTGTTTTGTTTTCGCTTCTCTTTCTCACTCCCCACTGCAAAAAGGCCCACGTGCACAAGATTTGATTCATAGACATCCAAATACTGCCTAAAGAAAAAAGTTATCGTCAGTGCGTATGCGCTTCATATGATTGGTGCCAAGCAACGGAAGCAAATGGGACATACCGGCTGCCTTTAGTGCAGACTTGATGTCGTGCGCCGAAAGAGTTACACGTTTCCTTCCCTCTCGAGATCTTTCATCCTCAGCAAGACATGACAGGTACAACAAAAACAGAGTAGCTGCCTTTTGAAAAGCGATACGAGCATCCTTCGAAACATGCATTCCGTCCGGTAACGCAGCGGATACGGTTCGATCTACTTGGCCAGCGGCAAGACTACGAGCCTTCATCGCAGTATCAGTAGCCGGGATGGTCGCCGGGACATCTTTCATGGCGTCAGGGGTCGTAGGATAATTGACTACTTCTCCAAAAAGAGAAGGGGCACATGCCTCATCACTCCCGGGCGTTTCCTGCATATAACTACCTAATAATAGTACTAAAAACTATAAATCCAACAAACAAAAGTATGCAATTAACATCATTTGCAGTAGGCTCCGCTTACACAGGCACGTTTTGGCACACGGTCCCACAGTGCAGAGAAGCGGCAAAAGAATAAGTAACAGGATGACGGAGAGGAGTAAAAGGCGCATCAGTCACAGCAATGAACGGTGTTCAATCGTCATGAATGCATCGGATTGAAGGGCTAACTTCAGAAACAATAAGTAATCATCATCATGTGCAAGTCGCTCACAGCAACAACTCTCCGATACCGCTATCACAGAGCACAACTATGGTATGCTGCAGTAGGCTCTGCTTACACAGGCACGTTTTGGCACACAGTCCCACAGTGCAGAGGAGCGGCAAAAGAATAAGTAACAGGATAATGGAGAGGAGTAAAAGGCGCATCAGTCACAGCAATGAACGGTGTTCAATCGTCATGAATGCATCGGATTGAAGGGCTAACTTCAGAAACAATAAGTAATCATCATTATTTAAAAAAAAAAAAACACATCTAAAAGTTGGCGTGTTCTTTTGCGGTTTGTATGAAGGGCACCATTAAACCCAAACCTTGGAATCAATGAAAAGAAAAAAAGAATGCCTTATTTGAAATGTACCAAAATAAATAAATAAATAAATAAATATTTTGTCAAAAGCAAAAACAGTAACAGAGGCAACAAGCATAGTTTTGGTTTCTGCGTGCGCCAATTTAAACGCTCAACTCTCAATTTCTTTTAATTCCGTTTTCATTTCCACGCAAACAAAAGCGGTGTTTACACCGATGACACAACTTTACGCAGGAGGCGAGAGCGACATGGAAAATTCATGCTTCCCCTGCACGAGTGTGATGACGGCTTTGCTACTCTCCACGTCGGCGCCGTCAATCCGCACAACACACCAACCAACAACACTGCGGGGCTCCACAACCCCGGCTGCCCGGAGTGCAGCTGAAAACGGAGTGTCTTTCATATTTTCATCAACGGACCTCCCCTCATTATCGTCCTTGTGTTCTGAGCCCGCTAGTCGGCGTATACACGGACGCTCCCCATAGAGGGAAAAACCCAACGGTGCTCTTGCGTCAGCTCTCTTGAGACAAATTGTAAGGATCTCATCTTGGGCCACCGTCTCGGATAAATTGATTGCCGAAACGGTGCCATTTCCTCCGCCATCGCCATCGCTACCGTCCAATAAACGCTGCATCGCTCTTTTTGCACGCCACTTTCTCCGTTGCTTCTTGACATGAAACAGCAATTTTTGGCGCACCGCAAAAATACAAGCTGTCTCCAACCGCGCCAGGACGCGTCGATTTGCCCGCTTGCGGTGTGTGCGACGTTTGGGGTCAAGTCCTTCCACTTCTGCCGCCAACCCCGGGAAGCTCTTTTGCAGCGTGAGAGCCATGTTCTTCGCCCACTCCCGCCGTTTCTTCGCCCCAGACGTGGAATCCCCCAGTGCTAGGCGCGAGGGACACTCCTCCGTCAGAAGAAACTCGCGATAGCAGCGGAGGACGTTGCTCACCACATAAAGACGCAACGCGACATACCCGAGTACCTTCGCAAAGTGCCGGAGCGTCCCACCCGCAGATCCCACGTGAAAAACAGCAATTGCCGCTGAATCATCTGCCTTCGGGGATTTTAAATACGGCTGCAGTCCCTCAATTAATTCGCGGTTTTGTGCCAACACGAACAACACCTCCTGCAGCTGAAAAAGAGGCATCCACAGAAATGAGGGATGAACGACATGCGCATGTACAACACTTAGAATTGATTGTGCCTGCCTTCGCTGCTGCCGTTCGTCGGTGACTTCACCCTCGTACGAGACACCCGTAAAGCACCGCAACACTTTTTTGCTGCGCAAATGCCACAGCTGCTTCGCTGTGTTGTGATCAAGAGCAAACAGAACCTCCTTGACGTATGAAGAAACCGCATGGCCATCAATCGCATCGGCAGGATCACTTGACCCAGTTATTAGTGATAAATGGTCGCGACGATATAAAGAGAGAAAAAAAGCCACCTCCGTCGCCTGTGAAAGACTCACTCCACACACGCGAAACGTTGAGTTTACTCCATGGCGTCGCTCCTCTCCGTCACCATCCATGACGTCACTCACCTGCTTCAAAGCCAAAAAAGAATGCAGAGAAGTCGTCAGCACCTCCCTTCCGGCACTGTCAATGTAGTGCCGGCGAAGCAGTGGAAAGAAGGAGGTTGAAATGCCGCTCATAAATCGATACACGGAGCGCTTAACAAATGAAAAATCACCTTTTTTCCCCTCCATTAACGCAAATGCAGACAAATCTTGCGACACAAAAGCCCGCATGTACGCATGCACAAGAGAACTGACGGCAACACGCAAAGAAGACGTCGCTTTCAAAATCTCTTCCCATTCCAAATCCGTCGGTGTGCCCTCTTTTCTGTTATCCACCCCCGTGTGGAAAAGATCCGTCGGAGTTGTTAACTCGCGGCCCGTCTTTTTACACGCCAAAAAGTATATTTCCACCTCCACCTCCAACACTGTGCGGCAAAAGACAGCATAGGGAAGCACCATAGAAGGCTTTACGGTATCCCGCTTTAGTTGCCATGAGAGAAATGTGCTCACAGTGCGTTCCAGCATCCGAAGGAGAAGCGCTGACGTTGCCGGATTTGGCACAACCGACTTGTCGCCTTCACCTCCTTGGGGCTCAGACCTCAGGTGGGCATAGCGAAGGTTAAGAGAAGCGTGTATCGTGCGGTGCGTCATCACCTTGTCACTGGAGCGCTGCTCAAGTGGAGGTGCCAACTTTTGCCACAGTTTTTGTAAACACGAAACAAACCGCCGCTCCTCGTTCAAGGAAGGAGCGTGAAAAAGTGACGACGCGGTCTGTAAAAGCCACATGATCAACAAAGTGAAAAAGCGGCTGTCATCAAATCCATCCATGCCAACGGGAAGATTTACGCTGCTCTCCATGACTGCAAGAATATCTTCAATCGCGCAAACAACGGATAAAATCTGAACGCCACCTTCCGCGTCCTCGATAACGGTGATGTTTTCCTCAACCATCCCTGCCAAAAACGTGTTGGTTAAATCCCACATGGATGAAACGCAGTCGGTTATGCGGCGTTCAAGCAGCCGCCGTTCTTCTTCGCCATTTTTCTTCACAGAAGGCCGCGAAAGATGCCAATGAAGTTCATCTGCAATAGCAAGCGTCATGGAATTGATCGTGCTAATGCACAGGCACAACGTCTGTCTAAATGCTGCATCACCTTGTCTGCTGGGCAAATCCTTTAAAGCCATGCCAAACACTGAACGACACGCATCCTGAAGAGATACAAAAGCCTCCACATGCATCTTAATTACCTCGTAACGCCATGTGTGTAGCTGTTTTATCTTCTCTGCATCACCGTTCAAAAGCTCCTGCCAGCGGTGTTTACCCTCGCGCCGAAACCCCCGCATAGAGTCCCAAAGCGCCGCAAACAGTGTGGCAAGTGCACCTCCAAGCAACTGAATTTCGGAAAGACCTTTCACCTTCCGAATGTTTACCTTCGCTCCAATGCGGCGGGCACAGCGGTGAAGCAGAGCTGTCGCCTCCGTCTCCCCGTACTCACTGGTCGTCACGGTTCCCGCCGTGTCTCTGTATTTTGCGGACGTGGCCCTCAAACCCTTGTACGCCATTGCCACTTTACAAAACGGCAGCAAAAACACTGAGTGTTTCGTACACACATCTGCAAGACTGGTGCAAGACGCAGAATCCTTTTTGTGTGCGGCAACCGTAGATTTCTTTTCACCCGTGGCAAAGCCGCGCACAAGTCGTTCCATTTCCTGCATTTCAAATCCGAGTGAGTGCACGAGTCGTTGCAACGCCTCATCCTTCGCCCCCGCCTCCTCTTCGCCTGCACCGTCGGAATTGTCGGCACTGGCTTTGCCCTTGCAACTGCTGCAGCGCCCGGTCCATTGCAGCGAGTGTAGGAGCACCCAAAATCTTCGCCTCATCCCCTAGCAAGAGGGAAAATTTAACCAAAAAAGAAAAGAAGAAAAAATAATAATATTCCTTCCAAAGCGGTGCACCAGAAGCACCACTCCACCCCGTTGAAGCAGCAAGAGCAATAAGATTTTTTTCTTTATTTCCTAACATCTCAACCCAGTGTCCCCTAACATTTCCCTACTAATGCGCATTCCCCTCCCCACAGAAAAAAAAGCTCATAAAAAAGACTACAGTCCGAATCAAAGACAAAAATGGCAAAAATAAAAAAAATAATAATAAGCCACTTGCCCGACTAAAAACAATTAGGACCAAAAACCAAAAGACTGAATGCATTCACCGAGGAAATGACAAGGGGAACGGTCTTCCGACCCTTATAGTAGCGGTACCCCATGGTGGAGGCAAGAAAAAACGATACGGCGGCAGCAATCCTGTTGCCCGCCTTGCTTGCAGGATCTTTCAGCAAAAAGAAGAGTGATGTACCCATCAAGGCGCCAGTTACTGACCCTGCAACGAGACTCGCAGCACTTCCTTTGCGGTAGCCCATGACGCCACCCACTGGCAAAAGAACGGTGAGTGTACCAGCAACGAGGGTGCTTGCCATTTTGTGTTGTTTTTCTATTTACGATAAAAATATAATAATAATGCTTATATATATATATGTATGTAAATGTATGTATATATAGATATATATAAGGTCCTTTTCCCTTCCTCTTTTTTGTTGTTGATTTGCCTTTTTTTTTTTTGTTTGTTTGTTTGACTAATAAATAAATATCAAGTACAAAAAAGGAATACGAGAAAGCCTTTTTCATTCGTGGAAACTACGAAACAAGCAGCCCCCAGAAAAGAATTGCAATGGTATGCATCGCTTTATAAACAGCATCTATTCTTCAGAAGGGAACACCATCGTTGCTTCGTCCATTCTACGTGGCATCCTTCTCAATCATGAACTCTCATGCGTCGTAACCCGTAGGGAAGCATTTGATGGAGAAATAAATCCTCGCCACTTCACATTCATTTTCTTTC